CCACTATACCAGTGGCAGAACTCAAACATGCAGCTGGTCATTGACTCCTAACTCGTTTTGCCATCCAAATCCAATAAGCCAAGTCCAAAGTGAAACCTGGGCTTCCCTGGTGGCTGAGCAGTAAAGAATCTGCCTGCAATGCAGGAGACATGGGTTCAGTCCCTGGGTTGGGCAGATCCCCTGGAGAAGGAAATGGCAACCCACTCCAGCATTCTTGCCTGGAGAATTCCATGGACAGAGGACCCTGGCAGACTACAGGCCAGGGGGTTGCAGAGCCGGATACGGCTGAGTAGCTAACACTCTCACATGGTAGAGGGGAAGTAATGCAATGTTTGTAGTAAATTCATGCTTGAATCCCGGCTCTGCTACTTATTAGCTGTGAACCCAGGAAAGAAAACCTACATTCCAGGGCTTCTGTGAGGCATACAACTAACCTGCACAAAGAGAGCCTGGAATTTAGAAACACTCAACACTTGGGGTATTTGAATACATTATGCAGATGTATAATGATCATTGGACCAGCTCAGCAACTCCATGAGTACAGACTGGGCTGTTTCCACTTGTTCTCCCTTGGATTTTTATTGCAGCTCCACTTAATTGCATGTACCTGAGCAAAGGCAGGTTATCTGATCATAGGACTTCTCTTTAACGTGCGAGAACTCTGACAATCTTTGCAAACAATGGTTCAGGATCCAACTGAATCACAGCTTTTAGCACGCAATTTTAGACAAACTTCATGTGTTTCCCTGAGAGTCATGGAGTCTAAAAACACCTCCGGAAATATCAATTAATCCAAAAGATGCATGCAGAAGAAAAGGCAGGTGTTCTAGAGTCAGGCGCATTTTAATTCCAGCTTTGTCTCTGATTAACCGATGAAGACTTACATTGAACCTCAGCCTCTTCATGTGTAAAATATAGATAATACTGTGCCTATTTTGAAGAGTTAATAAGAGAATGAAATGTGTAAAATCAAATATGTAATTAAATAAGTGAATAAATTACAAAGAATAACACCTAATAATTGGTGAATGTTCAACAATATTAACTCCCTCCTCTACTTCACTTGCAAACTCTCAAAGGTAGAGAGTAAATCTGATTGAGCAAACTATGTCTGAAACTCAATAGCGGTCATCCAGAGTGAGATATCTGGTCTTGCTTGAAGGACCATTATTATCAGGAAGATCAAGATCAAATGATAGATTTCTGAACTCCCAGGTAGAAAAACAGCTCTTCGAATAAGACTTAAAGACTTGTTCACTTTTTCCCACAAAAGCAAAAGTTCTTTCTGCTAGTCATAAAAGTGATCCAGATGATTAAACAGATTCTGATGGGATAAGCTTTACTTTATCTTAAGAAGAAATCACGTGGAGGAAAGAAACTAGACAACTTCTGACAGATTGTAGGCAGAGATGGTTAGGGTAAACCCACTTGCCCATCCTTCTCACAGGAATAATGGCAGCTGCCTGGATGGACTGAGAGGAATATGAAAGCAGGCACCGGGGCAATTTGTGTCTGGTGTCAGCCCATGCAGCCACCTGGAGCAAACAGCCAGCTCAGAGTGTGGGCTCAGAGATGTGGCAACCCATTAGCTCTGTGTGTGTGTGTGTGTGTGCGCGTGTGTGCACGTGCTCTCTCTTAGGCCTGGTTGCAGTCTCTGTGTATGTGTGTGTGCGCATGCATGTGCGCACATGCGCTTTTTCTAGGCCTGGTTTCAGGCTGTGTGTGTGTGCGCGTGTGCACGTGCTCTCTCTTAGGCCCGGTTGCAGTCTCTGTGTATGTGTGTGTGCGGGTGCACGTGCGCACATGCGCTCTTTCTCGAGGCCTGGTTGCAGGGATGTGCTCTCTCTCTAAGCCTGTGTGTTGCAGGCTGTGTGTGTGTGCATGTGCATGTGCTCTCTCTCTCTAGGCCAGGCACACCTTTACATCTCTTAACTAACCTTATGAGGTGGCTACCATCACCACCCTCACTTCACCAAAGGGGGAACTGACCCAGAGAGGTACAGGCCCTGCCTAAGTCCATACAGCTTAGCAGTGACAGAATCATGGCTGAAACCCAACCAGCGGGTCTGCCCATAAAGCCAGCTCTTGCAACCATTAAAGGGGAGCTAATCTGGTTGTGATCTCCTGCCAAGGGGTGATCCAAAATGGCCTAAAAGGGTGCAAAAGCCCAGGACCCATTACTTCCCCGTGTGAAATATAAAACAATTAAAACAAAATCTTCTGTTTTTGGTCCTTAGCAATCTCATCTCTCTTTTAGAGTGGAGAAAAGTAACCCTTCAAGAGGGTGTGACTTGCCAGGGGGCAACAGCTAACTTATAGCCCAGTTCTTATAGCTCGCCCTCTCTTGAATGCATGCCCAGACCCAGAAGTCTCCGTGCCAGACCTGGCCCTGCACGCCCTTCCCCTTTCCACGGGAGGCCGTCNGCCTGCCAAGGCAGGAGATGCAGGTTCAATCCCTGGGTTGGGAAGATCCCCTGGAGAAGGAAATGGCAACCCACTCCAGTATTCTTGTCTGGCAAATCCCATGGACGGAAGAACCCAGGTGGACTACAATCCATGGGGTCTCAAAAAAGTCAGACTTGACTTAGTGACTAACCAACAATTATGTTTATGGCTTGAAAGACTCAATTTTCTTAAGATGTCGTACGTACAGGCTCAGTCACTAAGTCATGTCCAACTCTTTTGAGACCCCACGGACTGTAGCCCATCTGGGCTCTTCTGTCCACGGGATTTGCCAGACAAGAATACCGGAGTGTGTTGTCATTTCCCTCTCCAGGGGATATTTCCGACCCAAGGATCGAACCTGCCTCTCCTGCATTGGAAGGCGGATTCTTTACCACTGTACCACCTGGGAAGCCATTAAGATGTTGATTTTCCCCCAGATGGATCTCCAGACTTAATACAATTCTAGTCTAACTCTCAGTAAGATTGTATAGATATAAGCAAGCTGATTTTAATATTTATGTGAGGTCAAAGGAACTAGAATTATCAAAGCACTTTTGAAAAAGAAGACAAATTTGGAGAACTTATGCTGTATGGTTTTAAGACTTATGATTACAGTAATCAAGATAATGTGGTACTGGCAAAATAACAGATACACAGATCAATGGATCAGAATAGAGTCTAGATATAGATCCACACAAACATGGTCAACTAATTTTTTTACAACAGCATAAAGACAATTCAATAGAGAAAAATTATCTAACAAGGAATTCATAAAGCAACTGGACATCTATACACAAAGAAATTAATCTCAACTTGTATCGCAAAACTCATATGAGAATTAATTCAAAATGGATCACAGACCTAAATATAAAACTAAAACTTTTAGAAAAAAAAACAGAAGAAAATCCTTGACAACTTGTTAGGCATTATCTATATTTCTTAGATATAAAACACAAAACACAAAAAAAAAATTTGGTCTGTTGGACATCATCAAAATTTAAAACTTCCGGTCTGGGAAAGACATTGTGAAGAGAATGAAAACACAACTTACAGGCATGGAGAAAGTATTCATAATCACATATCCAACACTGTTCTAATATCCAGAATATTTAAAGAAGTCTCTAAACTACAAAATAAGAAAAATTTAGTTTTTTAAATGGGCAAAATATTTGAACAAACACTTCAACAAAGAAAATATATGAAAGGCAAACAACCACATGAAATAAGGCTCAACATCAGTTGTTGATAGGAAAATACAAATTAAAACAAACCGGGATACCATGATAAACCTATTAGAATGGCTATAATAACATTTTTTTAAAAACCAATAATTCCAAGAACTAGTGATGAAAAGAAGAAATTGGCTATCTCATATATTGCTAGGGGTAATGCAGTTTTATAAAGTTAAGCTTGCACTTACAACATGGTCCAGCAGACTTTATCCAAGGTGTTGCCCTAGAGAAATTAAAACTCTTGATCACACAAACACCTATGCATGAATATTTATAAGAGCTATTCATAACTGTCAAAACTGGAAATAATCAAAATATCCTTGAATGAGTAACTGGACAAACAAACTGTTACAACAGAGTTTATCTCAGTAATAAAAAAGAATGAACAACAGCAAAAAGAATGAAAAAAAGACATCATGCTTAGTGAAAGAAGCCAGACTCATCGTATTATATACCAGAGGGCCTCACTTATATGACATTCTGGAAAAAGCAAAACTACGGGGACAGAAAAAGAAAGATCAGTGGTCACCAGGGGCTAGGGGAGCATGATGCGTATGAACACAAAGTGGAAATGTAGGGGAAATGTATCAGGTGAGAGGATGGTTCTGTGTGGTAATCATGGCAATAGTTACACAACTCTATGAATTTCTCAAAACTCACAAAACCATACACAAGACAAAAATGGAATTTTATTGCATATAAGTTGTTTTAAAAGAAAGTGGGAGTGGCTATATAAATATTAGAAAATAAGAGCAGAAGTCAATGACATAGAAAACGGAAAAACAATTAAGAATATAATTTTAACCAAAAGCTGGTTCTTTAAAAGCTTAAGAAAATGGATAAACCTCTTGATAAATTATCAACAAAAAAAGACATGAATTGCTGATATCAGTGACAACACTTGTTCACTATAGATTCTACAGACATTAAAAGTATAATGAGGAAATGTGATGAACAATTTTATGTCAGTAAATTCAATAGGTGGTAAGTGAAATTTATAAAACCATTGAAAGACATAAACTGCTTAGGTTGATAATTAATAATTGATAACCTGAATAGCCCCATATCTATTAAAGATATAGAATTGGAAGGGAGGGCCTTCCTGTTAAAAAAAAAAATAAAAAAGCAAAGCAAACCAAAAAACTCCAGACCTAGTTAGCTTCACTGGTGAAATTTGCAGAAGGTTTATATTAATAGAAGAAATAATGCCAACTCTACTTAAGCTCTTCCGGAACCCAGAAAAGGAAGAAGCACTTCCCAGTTCATTTAATTATTTCATAATTTTTTAAACACCAGATGGAGAGCAGTGCTCTTATTACTTACAAGGCTCCCAAATCGAAATCATTGCCCAAGAACTCCTCCAGTAGACTTGTATCCAGGGCGGGGTTCCCCAGACTGCCATTGGCACCTTGAGCTGCAAAGGCAAATTGAAAATCTAGAGATTTATGAAGATTTCAGAATGGTTAATCACTAAAATTTCAAAGCAATTAAATGGCATAATGTATTTATTGAGAATGTGGTCTTCCTTCCATTCAAATATTTCCTTCAGAAATCTTTTCAGACGTTACCCTCTTCCAGTAGCCTTCCTTGATCGCCCAAGGTTGGCTTAGGTGCCCATTTCTGTGTGCTTTCATTAACACCATGTATTTTGCCTTTTGTACTATTTTAATTGCTTGCATTTGTGTTTGTTTCTATATTTAAATTCTCTAACTTCGGAGACTGTGTCTTTCTTATTGTATCCACAAGTATCTATGGTATAAAAAAAAGAAAACATTTATTGGCTGGCTGGCTGGCTGGCTAGCTGGATGGATGGATGGATGGATGGATGGATGGATGGATGAATGGATGGATGGATGGATGGATGAATGGAAGGATTGATGATTGGTTTGTGGGCTGGACAGATTACTCTTAGTTAAGTCATCAAGAAGTTCAGTATCCGGCCTTGTGTTTTTGTCAGACTTTCCAAATATAACACAATAGTTCTGTCTTTTTCTGGATTTGCAAAATAAAAATGAGCTTATTGATTTCTTTCTGATCATAATAAAGATACTAGAATTTTTTTTAAATGTAAAATATGTTTTAAAGAAGACAAAACAATCTTTCTTTATAGATAACATGGCTCTATACCTAGATAATTCAAGAGAAACAACTGACTACACAAGGAAATGATCAGAAAAGTCAATAAAGTACAGTTAAAATTAACTATAAAGACAAATTACTTCTGTATATACAAAAAATGACCTGTCAATCATCCAAATAAATATAATGGGGGGAAAAGAAGATTCCACTCAAAATAATGAAAAGCCTAAAATATCTAAACATATATTTGGGGACAATATATTTTTTAAAAAAAAATTAGAAACTCTATGAAGTAACATAAAAAGAAATTTGAATAAATGGAAAGGCCGTCATTATACTTAGACTAAAATAATCATTATCAAAGAGCTTTTACTAGACATTGTTTAGGATGCCTGCCAAACCCACAGTCATTTTCTAAGACATTTCCCCTTATAAAAAGTCTTGAGCAACCTTTACAAGTACCTGAATCAGAGAAAAAAAATCATTGGTTGGACAGTGACCAATTCAATTATTTCTCCTAAAATTTGAACTACTAAACTTTAAAGATTAAGTCACATAATAGCTCTGGCAGAGGACTGGAGTGACAGTCTGAATATTTCTGCCAGTGCTTTACCCAGATCCCTCACCCAGGCCCTTCATGATCTGAGTGATGCGGGTTGTTTTCCTTTGACTATAATCACATGACAAAGTCTTATATGCATGCAGTAAACCCTTTCGAATTGATTCGTATGTTATCTGAAATCAAATAATCCCCAAGGAAATTGTTCTGGAAATCTTCTGGAAAGGTAAATACAAAAAAAAATGACCAGAAAAATTATGGAGTGGGGGGGGAATAAGTACTGAAAAATACACAGATGAACACGTCAAAGGAACACCATGAGTCCAGGATATATAAAGAAAGATTACATATGTACGAACTAAATATATATATTGTGTGTGTGCTAAGTTGCTTCAGCCATGTCTGACTCTTTGTGACTCTAGGGCCTGCAGCCTGCTAGGTTCCTCTGTCCTTGGGATTCTTCAGGCAAGAACACTGGAGTGGGTTGTCATGCCCTCCTCCAAGGGATCTTCCCAACCCAGGGATCAAACCTGAGTCTCTTAAGTCTCCTGCATTGGCAGGAAGGTTCTTTACCACTAGCACAACCTGGGAAGCCTCATAATATATATTATATTTACATATATATATACACACACAACAGGTACATGATAAGCATATCCTTTGACACCAGTGAGGAAAGATTATTTAATATATGTTGTGGGGGAAATTGGTTATACATTTGGGAGAAAAAAACCTGAATTATTTTCTTGTTCCCACACCAAAATTCCAGATAGGTCAAATTTTTCAACTTAAATAAATAAAAGCGTAGAAAGAAAACGTCAGTGACTATGCTTACGACCTTGAGATAAAGAAGGTTTTTTCAAGCATGGCACAAAAGTCAAAAATTATTTTTTTAAAAAGCCTTGATAAAATTTCATTATATACATGTTTTGTGCAGGGAAGAATTTTTAATGGTTTATTTTGAAATAATTTTTAACCTAAAGAGAAACTACAGGAATACTAAGAAAGTCACACATAACCTTCACTCACATTCATCAATTATTAACACTGTGCTGCATTTTCATTATTCTCTTTTTCTCTCTCTCTCTCACACACACAAACACACACAGATACACACCCACCTATACATATAATTTTGAATCACTTAAGAACAGGTGCCTTCATCCCTACTTCAGTATATCTTCCTCAGTATAACCATTATCTTCACAACCACAATTCAATTATCAAAATCATAAAACTTACCATTGATACAGTTTTATTATACAATCTATCTTACATGTTCAAATTTTGCCAATTGTCTCAATAAATGTCATTAACAGCATTTTTTCTGGTACATAATTAAATCCAGTGGAACATAATACATTTAGTTGTCATGCCTCTATAGATATTTTTGAAGGGTATAGGCTAATTGTTTTATAGAGCGTGCTTCAATTTTGGTCTGCCTCATGTTTCTCAAAGTTAAATTCAAGTTTTGTGTGTTTGGCAAGAGGATTACATAAATGATATTATGTCTCTCTTAGTGCCTTATATCAAGAGGACCATAATGTCTCATTATTATTGATACTAATTTTCACCCCTTGGTTAAGGTACTACCTGCCAACTTTCTCCACTATAAAGTTACTACTGTTCTTTTCGTGATTTGTGGCAAAATACTTTGAAATTATGCAGATATTCTGTTCCTCATTAAATTTTTATCTAATAGTTTTAGTATCCATTGAAGATAATGAGCATTTTAATCCACGAAGAAAGTTAAAAACAAAATGAAGGAATATTTTCAATATACATGAAAAAGTAACTATCCATAATACCCAAAACATTCTTTCAAATCAATAAAGTAATAGCTATGCTTCAATAGAAAATAGTAAAAGACTTAAAGAGGCAGTTCATAAAATGAAAAATCAAATCGGTTAATAACTGCTCAAAATATATTAAACTTTACTAAGAAACAGATTTTAAAATATAAGAAAATTTTCTTTTTTCTTACAAAACTGGCATATATTCAAGGAGTTAATAAAATCCACTGTTAATGATGATAGAAATAAATGACCCTCTTATGTACTGCTAACAGGAATACATATTAAATAATCTATCTACAAAGAGCTAGCATATGTTTCAAAAAAACTGAATGTGCATTTATACTCTGATCCAGAAATTTCACTTAATACACTTATGATAATATACTTGCTATAATAATAGAAAATTGAGAATAGGTGACCATTAATTGACATTCATTTAATGAAATACTATGCAGTCATTTAATAAATTCTATAACATTTCAAGAGAAAGTAGGTTGCAAAATCTTTACCTACCCAATTTGTTTTTAAATATAAATGCAATAGACAGACAATTCCAAAATTTAAAAGTTTAGAGTATAAAGCCCCCGTGACTTCCTCTTGAAAATAACTCCTTGACAGTGAAATTCCACCAAGCAAAAATGATTCAAAAGAAAGAACTCAGAAATACAGAAATTGAAGGGGGAAAACAATGACGAACATTGAATACAGGACTTAAACTGAATAGCTGAAGGAAATATGGTTAAAGATAAAAATGTAAAACTAATAAACCCTTAAAAAGGAAAAAATGTCAGCAACAAAGTTTACAAGATAGGGAGAGGGAATGGGAAGAGATGTGATATCAATCCCTCCATTATTCATATCTCAGAGTTCATCTTCATTACTCTAAATCTCAACCATTGAGTAAAAAACTAACTGTTTCAGCTTTGTAGTGACTTTTAAATCCTCTTTCTTAATCTTGGAAGAATCATTTAGAACTATCTCTAATAGTAAAGAAACAATTATTTAAATTCTATAATTCCTTCAGTTTCCCTTCAAGTTCTTTTTATCTTATTAAATTCAACTAAAATTAATATTCATATTATATTTACTATCAATATTTTATTTAGTACATGTGAGATAAGATCCATTTCTTACAAAATTATTTCTACCATCTATCTAGTTATCCATCCATCTATAGATATTCATAGAGAAGATGAAATAATATTCTACCACTATTGGCAGTAGGTAGGTGGTAGGATTTAGAGTGATTTATCATTTTTTTAAAAAAAATTCCTAGTACACACTTTGGAAAATTATTTTTCACTTTGCACAGTTTTGAATAAAATGATTTTCTAAAACAAGTGAGAAATAAATTGCTAAAATAGATAAAAACATAAAACCTAATCTGACCAAAAGCCCTGAAGTAAATAGAGAAACTTTCCACTCATGACTATCACGTTATACTTGCATAAAAGATAAAAATCCCAGTGGCATCATGAATTATGTTCTAAAACATGATAATTCCTCTACCTGCCATTTTCACAATTCTGGAACATAAAGAAAGAAGAAAAGCATTCAAATATTTTGCATGAAGCCATCACAAAACTGATGCCAAAAGATGACAGAGATACATAAAGAAAAATACAGACTAATGTCATTTGTGACTATTATACCAAAATTCTAAATAAAATGCTATCAAAATGATTTAACATTTCTATTAAGAGAAAAATTCAAGAACCCAAAGGATAATTCAATATTGGAATTCATGTATCGAAGTTAAACTAGTATTTGACCTCAACTGAAATGTTAAAAAGGCATTTAACATTCATTATTGATTCCAATGAATACATGCTTAAGATTATATATACTTATATGCATACATATACATATATCTATTTCTCATATAGATAAATGTGATAAAAACCTATATTAAATAACATCATGTTCAATTGTTTAAGAAATTAGAACTATTTCCATTAATATTAGAAATGTATATATTAA